TTCTCTCATTGCAATACTGAAAAAATGAATGCCATTGTGGTTGCTTCCTGTATTTCTCAAATCTTTTCATTGGTATTGGCATGAATTCAACACCCATTTCCATCAATGAGGATGCACCTCTGGACCTTTCAACAAACCTCTCCGCCATCTGCTTGAATGACATCCACATCATGGCAATGATAGGAAATCCACGTGCAGACTTCAGTAACCCGTTGAAAGACTTTGACACATTTGTAGTCAGAATTCCCCATCTTCTGCCACCATCTGCAAGCAAAGTCCACTTGTCAAGCTCATGTCGCATCAACCAGGTATAGGCTCCTTGGTCTTCCTGCCTGATCAATTCCATTCGTCTCCCGAATTTACACTCTTGGTGATCAGTTGCAGCCATCCACATTTAATCATGCAAGTCCTTGTTCGAATAAGCCCTATAGAAGCTGGCTTTTAGGTGCCTCACACAGTAACGGTGGTAGGCATATGGTTCCTGCCATATATGCAAATTCTGTACAAAACTTAAACTATCGCCATGACGATCAAATATTAGACAAATACCTGAATGATGTCTGACAACGTGCTCCTTCAAGTGGTTCAAAAATAATGTCCACGTCTCTTGATTTTCATTGGCACAAATAGCAAATGTTAGGGGAAATATACTTTCATTAGCATCTACCGTAACATCAATCAACAACATAATATAATACTTTCCATAGATATGAGTGTCGTCTATGGATATTATCGGCTGACAATGCACAAAACGATCAATGACTGTTTTAAAGGCTCAGAACACATGAGTTCTGGTATTCTTGGACTCCGCTCAATCTTCCATTCAACAACAGTCCCGAGGTTAAACATGTACCTGGGTAGAGATGTAAAGGACTTATCCCAGTTACCATAAACAACTTCAAACGCACGTTTGCTCCCGAGAAATGCCTTTTCTTTTGGTAGTGGTACACCCATATACCTGGTGGACAAATGTTATATACTCTTTGATCTTGTACCTTATGGACGCTTCAATGTGTGGAATCAAGATAAGAGAAATCAAGTCAATATTCAAGTTAAAATGATGCCCACTAAATATGCCCATTTCACAATTGTGGGTGCCAATATATTTACCCACAACTCATATATTTGTTTTCTGCTTCCTCGCACGCAGCATCCAGTTACAACCTGTAAATCATCTACGGAAAATAACCTTGTATACATCCGGAGATGACTCATGAACCATGATCTAACGACACTCTTTTATGTTGTACATTCGCACCCCCTGCTTAGGCACGCTTTATCAGCAAAAACATGCCTTTTGACAGCACTGTTACTCTATATTGATCCCATATTGATGTCCGAATTTTATCAAGATCCCTTGTGAGGGCATCCACATCCGACATACTGGGCAAATGATCAAGGTGGGGAATCTCCCTTGAATGAAACGGCACGTGGGACTCGTACGCTCTTGGTCTAATGGGAGGTGGAGCATGCTCCCTTGTCAAATCAGGTTCAACATTCTCTTCCTCCCCATCATCATCCTCATCAGGGAAGGGTGTGTCATCTCCAGACTCATCAGCATTGTTGTCATATCACTATTTTCTTCCTGACTCTACGCATCTGCCAGATCCTGATTAAATATGTCGTCTTCGGGCAATTGAGTAAGGACATAACCTTCAAGTTACTCGTTTTCATTGCACAATCAATAAAATAATGAGTTTCATAAATTGATCCAAATTTTACATATAGATTTATCACTTCACTTACAAATCATAATGTGTTGATATCCCATGATGGACATTGTTGTGTTGATGATGACTCCCAAATGGACCACCATGATCCAACATACTAAAACTAGGCATATTTCAACTGGGCGTTGGTTCATAACTTGTAAAATTCATATCTGGCCAGTACCCCCTGTGAAATATATGGGTATTAATATAAATTCAATATATAAAAATAAACATCGTAACACAAAAGGAAATTGAAATTTACCACTCGGCTTGTGGATTATGTAAACTAGGAGAGAAATTATTTCCTCGCTCCTCATTAGCCCGTTGAGATAAGTTTAGATCAGGCCAAACTCTTTCACTCGGAATCTGTTCGGCTAAAACTGCTACAAAATAACCACCCGATGATTGAGGGATATCCCTACTTTGCGGAACCTCATTATTGTGAACATCTTCAGCTTTGACGTACATTTCCAATATTTTTATCATAAGAAATTTATTCTTCCGGAGTCCTCAAAAAATCTCTCAGAGTTTCATGGTCTTCGATGTTAAACTCAGCATAACAAGCAACCCATTGTAGAGTGACAGAATACGGATATTTTTCGGTTACTTTAATATTCACCGAACGTTTGCTCATACTCATTTTTTTACATAACAACGATATCAATGTATCATACTCAATTGTAAGTGACAACTTAACATGATACTGTGGAAAACAACTATAGCTTATTCGTCACCATAACCTCACCCCCAATATAATGAAACCCTAATTCTTCGCTTTTCAAATATTATGACAAAATACAAAATAACTTAATGAATAATTATTTCAGACGACTTGAAGGATCCTGAATGGATTTTTACAAAATCCTGAAACTCTTTAAATAAGGAAAAAAAATCAGTCCCGGGGGCACAATTATTTGAGGTATAGCTCCTTGAATATGGACGCTATACCCAGTTGAATTATTGGTGTGCTAGTTAAATCAAGAAGAATTATTTGTGGGCCCAATAAACACCGCACTATACCTTAACGGCAAACGTACCGTTAAGGTATAGCGCGGTAAAATACGACACTATATATATTATGGTGCCTAATTTTTTTTCTACACATTATAATTCTTTGATCGAGTCCAAAAGCCGGACTCTTATTCCTAATGGGTATGGTGTGTCGGCTATGAATGGACAAAAGAGAGGATTTGGTTAAATTCCCAAGGAATGTCTAATATGTCAACTACGAAGAGAATAACAGAATTACTACTGCTAATTAAAGTACTTTTAGGTTGAAAAAGCAAAAAGAAGTTTGAAATATTAGAGCACAGCACTAATATTCATGCAAATTTTGCACTTCAAAAAGAAGAGCTAATAAAGAAAAAGAAGGCACTTTGTTCTGACTATATCCAAGAAGATATTCTACAGTGATTCTCCTTTTAACCAAACAAAATGAATCCTAGGAACAGAAACAAAACATAAGCCCCAAAGGTTAATTGGTTCCGGAGGTGACATAATCAACGACGTTCATATATTTACCCCTATTTCAGTCGCATCTCTGAGGAGGAAATGGTGTTCTTCTATGTTAGTTTTTACCGATTTCTCGTAGAAAGTGTCATGTATAGCTCAAAAACATTTCTAACGAGTCTTAAAAACCAATCTCCCGGTATCCTTTCCTCTTCCTTTTTCTTTTCGTTTCGCATTCAGTGTAAGTATCAATTTTGGTCTGTTTAATTTGGATTCGTGCTAATATTCATTTTCGGTTAAAGTCAGAGGCGAATCCAAACTTTTAAGCTTATGAGTTCCTATAATAATCCCAAGTTAATCTACAAGATAACTGGACAAATGAACTGGGCTAAATATTCGTATATTTTTAATGAATTTTTTAGTATAAATACAGGGTCTATGCAAAAATTACTGGGTTCACGAGAACCCGTACCGTTTGCTCTACATCGGCTCCTGGTTAAAGTGCTCCTTTAATTTGCACTCCATTTGATATGAAAACTTTCGTTTTCGACTTTTCACAATTATTTGACAACACTCTGCTAACGAGTTATAAAGTGAAGTTCTCTGTATGAAGAGGATAGATTAAGCTTTTCATATGTCAAATGAATATCTTAAATTTCTGGTAAAATTTAAATTCCATCGATAAGAAAAATATAAAATGCAATGGGAACAGTAATTTTTTGTATTTAATTTGGCCCCTAGCTAGACAGTAGCACTTTCATATGTAGCAACTTAGAATTCAGTGCTTTCTCATGTCCCTTCCAGTAGTAGTGTGAAAGGACACTTAAACTATTCATTTAACCTAATCTCAGTTTAATAATGGAGTACTCAGTTTCAATTCTCTCTTTTTTTTTTTCCCCCCTTTCTCCATTTTAGGTACATGGGACTATTATCTAATTACTGATCGAGACATTTTTGTATATCTGTATATGTCGAAACTGACAAAAAGATGACTTCGCATGTTAAGTTAAAATATTGCATCTAACAAGGTGGAAATATTATTTTTTGGTAAGAGATTAAGTTTATGTATTAACAATATAAAAAATATTTATATCAGGACAGTTAAAAAGATATATGTATTAATTGGTAGAGTTTAACTAGTATCCATCACCCATAGAAATATTTTACACAATCAAGTTATCTTTGTTTGTTGTAACGAAACAACTTATTTAATTTATTTTCAAAATTATAAATTTCACTTTTAAAGAGAATTACATGTAAATGATTTCTGAATTACCTGATGGTGTAAAATATTAAGTCATATTATATATCTATAAAGAAAAAAAAAATGAGGAGATGAGGCAAAACATCCTACAATCCTTGCGTATACAGAAATACTTTTACGTACTGTCAGTAATATTAGGTAATTTTCAATGGCAGACCTCTTTTGTTGCCCTATTGACCCTACAATTGGAGGGGTATTTACCCCCCAAGAAACTCGTAATCTTGCCCTAAAGATTGGCTGACTCAAATCAGATGACCATATTTCTATATTGTCCGACGTACCTAACGCAATCTTCTTCCTCTATATAAACCATGCATGGACAATCTCATCTTCTCAAACTTCATAAAGATATCTTTAAAAAAAAGAGAAAATAGAGGTAATTAGTTGTATCAATGGATCAACAACATTCCACTTGTTTTTCTTCTTCAAGTAAAATTAATGACAAAGAAAAGAAGAAAAAAAGATCAGTTGTGAAACTATCAACTGATCCACAAAGTGTAGCAGCTCGTGAAAGAAGGCATAGAATCAGTGATCGTTTCAAGATTTTGCAGAGTTTAATCCCTGGTGGTTCAAAAATGGATACAGTTACTATGTTAGAAGAAGCAATTCACTATGTCAAATTTCTTAAGACTCAAATATGGCTGCATCAAACCGTGATTAATATTGTAGATGATTATGATAATCCAAATTATCATGATCAGTTGCTAATGGCTCATGACTCTAATTTTGCTAATTATTATCCTCATGAAATGGTGGAATATTGCCCAGCTCCTGTTGAGAATGCACAAATAAATTATAACTTGGACCAGCTGCAGCTTCCAGGTTATGCATTTTCAGATGGGGATCAATTCCAAGGAGAAGAAACTAATATTACTGGTGATTCTTTTATGTACTATTAGTTAGTTAATTATGTTGCCTAAGTTTAATTAGAATACGTAGTGTGTGGTAGTATGGTATGTTGTTTTCTCTCTTTCTATCTAGCAGCCTAAAGATGGGTTTGTGTTAATTAATTAGATGTAGTAAATTGTATGTGTTGGTTAGTTGATTAAGTATGTTGCAAGTTATTTTCACTGATCAATTAATCAATGACTTTGTGAAGAAGCATCTGGAAGTTCAATTTGACTAATGTATAACTTTTTTTTAAAAAACAATGAATGGATAAAAAGAGTGAAAAGAAAGAAAGAGAGAAAATTATACAAACAAAATTACGGGAGGTTTAGAAACAATTTAAGTACTACCTGATACTATAAAGAATATTTACACAATTAAATCACTTAAAAGAAATTTGGTATGTGATTTAGCAGTTTAGCTATTATGTAGTGAACTGTTTGGCTAAACTTTTAATAATTGTTCATTTTTAGAATTGCTTTTATCAAAATAACTTTTCGTAGAGGTACTTCCGGAGAGAATTAAATGCATCTTTATTTATCATATAAGGATAATATTTGAATTAAATAGAAGAATTAACCCAAATCGTCGTCCGCCTAATCTCTAAAACTAAAAATAGCCAACGAATATATATATATATATATGTGTGTGTGTGTGTAACTTTGTATAATCAATATATAATATATGTATACCGTCCAAAAAAAGTAAATAATGAATCTGGCCGGTTATTTATGTAATAATCCGGTAAATAGACCGTGGGCCTAAAGCTGCTGATAGAGGCCTGAAAACATGGGCCTATGTCTGCTGAAAGCCCGTTAAATACGCCAACCTAAAATAGTGCTTCCTTATCCTTAAAAAGCAATTTGAGGTCGTCTAAATCAGGATGGTGATTTTATGGTTTCTCTGCATGTCAAGAACATATAGGTAAGACACATTTTTAGGAGATCACTGAGATAAACTGAAACATAATCTTTCTCGTGTGTTTGAAAGTAGAAGAAAAGATTACTGTAGACGGTCAAAATCGTGTGTCCCCGATTTTGTAGGCTCGAGGGGTCGCATCGAGAACAAGTTCAATATAGACTGAGCTCGAGTTCGAAGGCAGAATGCGAGACTCGAAGATCTATGTGCTCGAGGAACATCAGAGCCGAATATGGCTAATCTCGAGATAATACCGTTATGGTTTTGTAACAGAAAGGGCGAGATTCCCACGGTGGCCCTAAGATCGTGGCGTAAATTCCGGAATAGATTTGTACGAGTTAGTACGGATTTGTACTAGGAGGTTAGACAGTTGTCCCAATAAGATTCTTTACTGTAAATAGAAATGTACATTATTTAGGGTTCCTCTACTATATAAAGGGGACACCAATCATTTGTAACATTCATTTAATCATTGGCAAAAGAATATACTCTCTTACTTTCTTGTTCATTACTCATCAGAATTGTCTCTTAACTTTATTGTCTTTATTTTACTATTCTTGTTGACCTACCTCGAGGTCACCATAGCTCGAGGTCAAGACTTGCTTAAGCACTGGTTTGATTCAGCTTACTTCTTTAATTTTCACGTTTGATTTCTTGGTTATTAATTAGTATTGAACTAAATCACGTATCTTTAAAATCACAAACAAGTTTAATTGTTACTCGTATTTTCGAGGTAAACAGTTTGGCGCCCACCATGGGGCTAAAGATAATAGTGGTTATTTCAGTACTGATTCTGATAACACACGTTATTTTTACACTTATTCTTTTCAAGAATTTTTGTTCTCAAGTTAAATTATGTCAAACTCACAAAACGCACCCGTACACGGCGATGATGGTCTAGGATTTCATGGGGAAAACAACAATGTAGTTTGTCACACCTCCCTTTTTCCTATACCCTGTAAAGGGTATAAGGGAGTTTTTCCAATTAAAGGACAATCGAAACGGGATTCCTTATTAATTTCAGAGTCGCCACCTGGGAACTTTATGGCGTCCCAAGTCACCGATTTTAATCCCGAATCGAGGAAAATATGACTCTGTTTGTCATTCTGCGAACCAGAAATCCGGGTAAAGAATTCTGTTAATCCGGGAGAAGGTGTTAGGCATTCCCGAATTTCGTGGTTCTAGCACGGTCGCTTAACCGTTTTTATACTTGGCCTAATTATCTTGATTTACTAAATACATTTTTTCTTGTTGCATGATTTGGTTATTGCTTTTATTTAGATTATTTACAATTATAGACCTTTCTTGAAACGAATCACGCGTACGTATATTCGTATTATATATTTTTTATAAATGTAAAGAATCGTGTCACGCATACGTGTACACAATAAAAATGATAATATTTTTATATTTTTTATTATAAAAAAAAATTATGTTCGAAATTGTGCTTAAAATAAAATTACGAACATTCGTCACTCTTGTATGATTAAATAGTGAACTGCACATCTCGGGTTATATGAAATTAATTTAATTTAAATATCCTCCGAAAAACCCCTTTTATTAAGAAAGTTTGCTCGAAGTTGCGCGAACGCATACTCCGAATTGTCTTTAGAAATGTAATCATGTCACGCGAACGTGTCCCCAATTACACAAAATATTTTTTGATGGTAATATAAATTTTCTACAACTGTTTATTATGTCCATTTATTTTTAAATATGAAAACCATGGGAAATCACCGAATGAAATGTCTCGAGATTTCTAAAAAAATCAAAATTTATTAGGTGTTGGCCACAAATTATATATATATTATTTAAGCGGGTGAATTATATACCTTAAAAACTATTCAGACTAAAAGAATTAATGAGATGAAAAATAAATAACATATAACTAAAACTACCGTTTTATCGTGAATACGGTATATGTACCTTCAGTACTTGGTAATTATATGCACAAGTTATTTATCATTTTCCTAAGCTTAAGACTAAGTGTATATGTTTGAAAAACTTACCAAAAGCGAATTACGTGTAAAAAACTAGGAAAAATTTAATTGATAAGCAAACTAATAGTTTTCGAAGAATTTCCATTATTCTATTCGGAGCGAACTCTACTTGCATATCTTTGACTTAAAATGTTGCAATTCGTATTTGTAAATCCGACTTTCTTCTAAACGACTAGTTTTTAGTCCAAAGTTTTAATTATTTGGTTAATTTGCTTACGATGATTGAGTTTGGGATAGGTAAAATTAAACCAATTTTTTTTCGACTTATGCAAGCTATTTACAAATACTAAATCTACACTTTGTAAAATCATTGACATTATTTATATATTATTTTTAAGAAATGAGTTAATCGCATTCCTAAAATAAATAGGCCATTTGTTATTAAGAAAGAGAACTAATCTACAAATTTATTTAATAAAATGACATTACATGTAACGTAATTATACATCTGAACTATCCGTAATGTTCCAATATCTTAAACGTAACGGATTATATCAATTCCCCTCTCACTTTATAGTTATACACATAACCGTTATCATGCCACATACGAACAAGAAACAACTTACATCATCTAGCTTTAAACAAAAATCGGATGCTTGACGAGATATACTAGTAATGTGGTTCCTTGAGATTTCCATACTATCCTATACTTAGCCAACAAGATTACAAAATTTAATTAATGGTCAGCTTTCTGCCGTGTTCCCTATCTTGACAATTCGAAAATAAATGTTACCACTACTTCAGAATAAATAAGATTACAACAGAGTTTATACTTCTCCAAAAGGCAAATTGGCTAATAGCGCCCATGTCAAGTATAATACTACATTAGCTAACTAAAAAAAACTGAAATTTAACTAATAGATTTGAATGAGTGGAGGACATAATTGCAATTCCAAACTTCATTTATTTGCAATATTGAACCTTTTCATGACATGAGTCTACAGATATATACCTGGAAATGAGGGTAAAAGAGGTAATATTTCAGCAACAGCAGCAACAGAAAACCCAACAGCAGAAAAATGCCAATGATTCAGCAGATTTGAGCAAAAACAACAAGACCCGTGAAAACCAGACACACAGTAGCAGAAATCTTAGGAAATTTCAGATTCAAACGAACAGTATCACCAAACAAGTTCGGACAGATATGAGGAAAACAATATTTCTGATTTTTCTTTCTTTCTTCTCTTATTTTTTCTGTTCTGTTTCTCTTTTCTGTGTGTGTGTGTGTATGCTCTTTGTTTTTTCTGTTTTTCTCTTTCTGTTTTTTTCTATGTCTGTATCTTCTGTCTCTCTTCCCCTCTTTTTCTCTATCTCTTTTCTTTTTTCATATGTCTTCTCTCTTTGTATTTTTTGTTTTGTTTTCTGTCTCCCTTCTCTATATGTTCTCTATGTTCTCTATGTTCTCCTGAAATCAGTCCCTAACACCTCTTCTTATACAACTTATTTTTCTTCTTTTCAGCCTACTGCCCGGACCCCTTTTCCCCTTTTAAAATCAGAAATTTCCACTCAAATAACACTAAGTCTGGATTTTCTAATTAATCAGCCACTAAGGATACCTTTTCCCTTAATTTCAGCCCCCCCCCATCTTCTTTTGTTCCCCAGTATTCTTTAAACAAACACATTATTGAACCCTACCATTAGTTGTCTATTATCTTTACACAAACCCACTTAGGAATGTCTCAAATCAGTCCACTAACAAGTTTGAATATTCAGCAGCCCTTAAACAAGTATTCATGTAGTTTATTTCCCCCAAACTAACCCTTAACTACTTCTGAAAAATCTCAAAATACTGCCCCTAATACAAAATCAGAATCCAATACAAAACAGGTTTTATCATCTGTTCAACATTAGTTTCTGATTGAACAGCTATAACCAAATCCTAAGGTTTTAATGCAGAACAACATTAGATTTCCAATTCAGAACAATATTTACAGAATTTTAAATAATCGGGTAATTAACAATCAGAATTAAAACCAAACAGAATGTTGAATGATTCAGTCTATACAGACAGACTAGTCAATGAAGCTTAATCAAATGATTGCATATTATAGCTGACATTGATTAGGAAACAATGAAAACAAGCAATTCAAATA